TACAACTTAAAAGCTATAAATCATAGTCATGTGTGATAACACAGGCCTATAATCCCAGCACTCTGGGAGGCTGAGTCAGGAGAACCACAAATTCAATCCCAGCATGGTGACTTAGTGACTTAGCGAGACCTTGTTTCAAAAATAAGAAATAAAAAAGGTCTGGGGATATAGATCAATGTGAAGGCCCTGGGTTCAGTCCCCAGTACTGGGGGGAAAAAACCCATACACACATGACTTATAAATCACACTTCAATACATCAATGCCATTTTTAATGAGATTTTTCTAGACAAAAGGGGACAAAAGAGGTATTCTGACTGACTGTATCCTGCTTAGAAAATAACTCTGGCAATGCTAAGAATTATTAGTGTCTTTGTAGATATGACAAAATGATTATGTAAAATGGCCTTAGGAAATCTCTTCTATGCTATGTCATGGGGAAACATCAGATGTCTACCACATAACTTTCAGTATTTATATTTCTGGATGGTATGGCAAAACATTAATGTATTTCAAACCTAGGTAATAAAATTATGGGTGATAACAGCAAAAAAAAAGAAAAAAAAAGATATATATCAGTCAACAAGCCATGGATAAGGAGCAGTCCATCGTTCTGGTTGGATAAATATAGCTCATAAGACTTGGAAGGTGATTTATGGAGCTTTGGGGATTCTGGGGGTGGTTCTGGAGGAGGCACCCATGTAGTTATGTGTTCACTGGGCAGGAAATTGGTCGAGGTCCAAGCCTGGGAGGGGCTTGGGGACTGTAGGGCTGGGCAGGCTTTGGGAGGGGCTTGGTAAAGTTTTGGCCCTGGGCAGGAGGGTACCTGTGCTTTGTTTGAAGCTTTCAAAACTTCTAGGAAAATTGAGGCAAAAAGTCCCATCCTAACACCTCTGATTTGTCCAGATCATCCCTTGAGAGAGACAGACGGCTCAGAATGGGAGTGTCACCCATCCAAGGTCAGAAACTAGACAATGGCCAGGCTGGGATTTAGGCCCAGGCTAAGCTCCTTCACGATCACCAGGTCTTCACACTATAAGAAGCCTTCCAGGGCCCCCTCTGTAGCTCCCCTCCTCAGCTTCTGCACCTATAGGAGTCTCCTTTCTTAAAAAAATAAAAACAAAAACCCCAAATGCCTAGCCAACCCTTTCATTCTTTTCTCAGTCAATGTCATATCACTGTCTACACTCACAACCTCTTGTCTTCCCTTCCTGCCCCTGTGGCATCTCGCTTCTAGAACCTGCAGCTTCCAGCACCCTACACCTCCCCTGCCCCCTTGAGCCACCATCAGCCTCTCCCAGCTCCTACCCTACTCTGGGCCCTCCTGCCTCACACTGTCCCCTGGTGTGTCCAGCCTGATGGTCCTAAAATGCTCATTCTCGGTGGCCAGCAAGCTGGGGAAGGGCTGGGTGCTCCGGGGGTGGGGGGTGGGGAGGAAGTAGATGTACACAGACTGGTGACTCCCAGGTCTGGGGCCAGGAGCAGCTTGTTGGTTGGGTGTAGACAGAGAAGGGGACATGAAGGCTCCAATCCGGTGGAATATTATATAGTTTCTTCTTGGAGACAATCCCACCCCACTGGGATCCTGACATAGACATCCCCAGCAGCTGGGATGAGAAGAGTGCCCAGGTGCCCAGGACAGGATACCTCACTTGGAGGTGGTGGAGGAGGAGGATGCAGGCCTCAAGCTTTGGCCAAGAGAACACCAGATGAGTCCTGGGTCTCTGCTGGTCCCACCAAGTCCCCTCCTTCCATCTGCTCGTGCCTTAGAAGCAGCAGTAGCCCCAGACTCTGGTGGGAGTGAGGAGCAGCTTTTCTGGCTTCTAGGACCTGCAGAATAGCTGGCACTAGAATGAGCCTAAAGACATTCTTGCTGGGGGATTTGGGCAGCAAGGACATGCAGTCTTCACCAAAGCCAACCAGGAGGATGCTGAGCTGGCTTACAGCTCTCAGAGCTCGGGGAAGCTAAGAGCCCACTGCTTAGGGGTTCCAGGCACTGAGGACTCCCCTCCTTCCAGCTCCCTCTCCCACTGCTGGCCAAGTCACATGCCTTTCCCTGCTGGTTGGTAATCCTCTAACACCCCAGGCACTCTGACCGGAGGCCACAGTGCTGGCCAAGGCTTTGGGAAAAGCAGACAGGGCATGGGTAACTTTGATGTGGAACACTGGTCTCACAGTCAGCAAATGGCAGAGAACTTTTCACCAAGACTGTTTCCCCACACAAGGGAGGGACAAGTCACAATTCTCCTCCCTGTGATGGCTGAGCCAGAGACTGCAGAATATATCATGGAACCCCAGCTTGCTCATTAAATCCTCCTATTGGCCCATCAGGAAGGTCTCAAATAATGTCTGTTCTACAGGGGGTGGCAGGTGGGTTGAGGCTCCTCAACAAACAAGGAGTGGCAGCGAAGTCCCCCTTACTTCTGTTTCCCAAAGGCCACTGTTCTGGGGAAAAAGGCCAAGGTGTCACTCGCCTGCCATGTGGCCACGAGGGGGCAGCAGCATCCTGCCCTGCCGGCAGGAATCCTGGCGGGGGGAACCAATCTCTCCACAATGAACAAAGAACATCTGTTGTCTAACTAGGAATGGGAGGTGGCAGAGTGAAGTCACAGACTTGGCTAGAGAGACAGCAACTGTATGCCCGGAAAGGAAAGACCATGGTCTCAGAGGTCTCTAGACATGCTTGGAAACTTACTGTCCATTGTGGTGACCTTGGGCAAGTTATTGAATCCAAGGGGACCTTGATTTTGTTGTTGTTCTTTTTGTTTTAATTCATGCCAGTGGGCTAAGGGTAGGCACTTCACTTGGCTGTGATGGAGATTGAGTGAGATAACCGGGTAGCAAATACACTGGCCCAGCATTAGTGTCTGGGGCTGCAGCTTCCCAGCCAGTGCCTGGAGGAGAGGCCTCATTCACATCTGGGCAAGTCTGCTTACAAGCCTGGCACTGCTACACGGAAATAAATGCTCCGCTCATATCGACAGATTGTCTGCAAACTTAAGTTCCAGCTCTCTGACATGGACTTTATGGCCTCTTTACTGACTTGCCTGTGCAACTGCATTCGCTCCTCCTCCTCCTCCTCCTTCTCCTCCTGGTAAACCCAGGCCCAGCTTTCCTGCTGCTGACCACCTATCACCCTCATGCCCCTGTGCCTTCCAGTTCTCCTCCCTGTGTCTCCAATGCTTTGCCCTGGCTCTTCACCCAGCTTAGAACTAGTGTGGGGCTTCCCCCAGCCCTCATGCCTGTGCTCTACCTCTCCTGTAGCACTTCTCAGCATGGTGACACTCAGGTGTGTTTTGTGGGATCCCCACTAACCTGTGAGCTTCTCAGGGAAGGAACCCTCCAAGTCTTCCTGGCCTTCCATGACTTCCATTGGGAGGACCTGTCCTTCCTTTGTCTACAGATCTGTGTCTGCTGCAGAGACCCAAGTACCCACAGCAAGTGATTTCTTCCAATCTCCATTTTGTACTAAGGAAACTGAGGCTCAGAGAGGCTAAGCAGCTAACCAGGAGCCACAGCCTCTGTCCTCTGCAGACTCGGGGGCAATGTGCACTTGGGACTCTGCCCACTGCATCCGTCACAAGCCGCTGCTCAAAGTCTGTCACTTGTGCAGGGTCAAGGATGCTAATGCTTCCTGGATCTCTTAACCAAGGCAAGGCTACTGAGGGACGCTTTGATGACTGTCCCTCCCTGGCCCCCACTAGGTTTGCCAGATCTGGAAAGGAAAACCCGGGCAGAGTGGCACTGTCACCCTCGCCTGGCTCTCATTAGGGGTTCAGCCAACTCGGAGAGCAAACTGGTGGGCACAAAGGAGCAGCGATGATTCTAACCCACTAACCCTTTGTTGGCCCGGTAGGCTGCTCCCACCCATGAGGAAGGCGGGAACTGAGGAGTCCAGGGAACAGGCAATGGCACATGCCAAATCTGTGATCCTAGCAAACTCATATAATACCCTTTGTCGATTTTTCTAATGAGTATCTCAAATATTCAAACAATCTCTCTGGAACTTGCAGGAATAAGACCTTTGTTCATCACATAGATTGCAAAACATCTCCCAACATATATAGGTTGAGCATAATCTGAAAGTTCAAAGTCTGAAGTGTCTCAAACTCTGAAACTTTTTCAGGGCCAATGTGACAACTGGAAAATTTCACCTCTGATCTCACCTGAGAAGTCACACTTAAAATGCAAGTGCACTAAAAATATTGGATAAAATTACCTTCAGGGTATGTGTGTGAGGTGGACATGAAACATCATTAGATTTTGTGTTCAGACTTGGGTCCCACCCCCAAGATACTTTATCATGTATATTTCAAATATTCTAAAATTTTAAAAAATCAATATTGAAAATCAGTCTGGTCCCAACTGTGGTGGATAAGTGATACTTAATGTGTATTTAACTTTATAATACTTTTAATTTTTATACAGTCAAATTGTCTGCCTTTGTCTTTTGAGTTTTCTTCCACGCTTAGAAAGACCTTCCATACCCCTATGTTTAGAGAAATATTTATATAGGTATCACTTGTAGTATTTTCACTGTTTGCATTTTGATACTTACATCTTACAAGCCTGGTGTATTTTGGAATAAGAAGTAGGCATCTAATTTTATTTTTTTCCAATTGGCCATTTAGTTAGGATCACCATATACTGAATGATCTCTTTTTCCCCTACTGATTTGAAAAGCCACCTTTTATCACTAAAATATCTCTAAAATTCCGTGGACAATTTGACCTATCTCTATCTCATTGTATTTACCTATCTGTTTACCCTAACACCATTGTAGTTTTTATTTTTGTGGCTTTATATGATGACATATTTTAACATTAAAATTGTGCCTCTTCTTAGAATCTCCCTGGCCTGTCTCCTATGTGTACTCTTTCAAATGAATTTCAGAATCATTGTTTTAAGTTTCCTTCACAAAAAGCCCCATTGGATTTTGATCAAATAATATTGAAATATTAGGTTCATTTAGAAAGGATCAAGACTCTTACACAGTGAAGTCTTTCTATTCAAGGACACAATACCACTTTTCATTTATTCAAATCTTTTTCAAAGCATCAACAGCATTTTATAGTTTTCTTCATAGCTGGCCTGCAGTTTCTTGTAAAATTTATCCCTTGGTTCTACATGCTTTCTAGATGGCTGTTAATTAGTATTTTTATTTGTCTTTTTTTTTTTTTTTTCCTGAGATTGGGCCTCACTATGTTGCCCAGGCTGGCCTCAAACTCGTGAGTCCAAGCCTCAACCTTTCAAGTAGCTGGGACTACAATACAGGCCACTGGTCCTGGCTCATCTGTCATCTGCTCTAATGGGCTGATGTGTGTATATAGGACATCTATTGAGGTTTCTTATTATTACTTTGAAAATGGCCATTCTTTTTGGTATTCTTTCACTTTCTGTTTTGAGCTAATTTTGACTTACAGACAACTTGTAAAAATAGTACAGAGAGTTCCTGTTTCCCCTTATGTTAACCCAGTTTCCCCCTTATGTTAACATTTTATGTAACAACCAAACAATTGTCAAAATTAGCATTTGGCACCATGCTATTAACTCCTGACTTTAGCAGTCCCTGGTTTTCCCATGGACACCCGACCTCCTTCAGACTCCAGTCCTGCACCCCAAAGTGTATCCAGTGGACATTTCTCTCTGGGCTCCTCCAGTCTGTGACATTACATGGTCTTTCCGTGACCTTTCATTTTTGATACTTTTGAAGAACAGTGGTCAGTTGTTTCATAGACTGTTCTCAGTTTGGGTCAAGGTTATCGTCATTGGAAAAGGTATCACAGACACAATATGTCTTCTTAATGAGCTGTACAGGGGGTACTCAGTGTGGGTTAATTTTACACAGATTAATCTTGAGCACTTGGTTAAGATGGTGTCTGCTAGGAGTCTCCTCTGTTAAGTGACTTTTTGTCTCTTTTTAATTACCAAATGTCTTAGAGAAGATACCTTGAGACTGCAAATATCCTGTTTCTAACTCAACTTTTGCTCATTAATTTTAACATCATCCATGAATTGTATCTATAGCAGTGATTGATGTGACATTTTAATGGTAATTTTCCATTCCCCTCATTCCTTCCACCTTCATTAATTAGGGTCCTTCTGTAAGGAAGAGTTGTAACTTCTCTCCCATTTATTCCTTTTCAAGAAAAGGTTGATACCAAAATGAACTCCTGGATGTTATGGGTTTTAATTGAATACGATCATGATTTTGTTATTCAGGTTGTTTCAATTTTGGTCATTAGGGGCTCTTTTAGTCTGGTTCCTGGGACCTTTTAATGTCCCCCACCCCTTCTTTACTATCTCACTTTTCTGGCACCGTAACACATTCCAGGATTATCTTATATTTTCCCTGGGATTTCAGGACCTGAGGATCCCTGTTTCCTGTTATGGGATAATGGTATTTGGAAAACAAGTTCTCACTGGGCACTGTGGTACATACCTGTAATCCTGGCACTGTGGGAGACTGAGGCAGGCATATCACAAGTTCAAGCCCAGCCTGAGCAACTTAGTGACCTAGCAAGACCCTGTCTCAAAAAACATTTAAAAGGTGGGGAGTATCTAGGAGTGGGTCAGTGGCAGAACATGCTTAACTAGCATAAGCAAGGCCCAGGGTTAAATCTCCAGTTCCACAAAAGAAGAGGGAGGAGGAGAAGGAGGAGGAAAGAAATAAACAAAGAAGGAAAGAAGACAGGCTCTGGAGAGCTAGGTCTCTCTCACCTTTTGAAAATTTTTAAAATTTTATTTTATAGCTCTTATCTTGGGTTTTTTAGCAACTTAATCATATTAACTACAAAAAAAGATGGTTTTGCTACCCCCAGTATTTCTACACATTTTTTCTTTTATCTAACTTCACTATTAAGTAAACTTTTAGCTTTAGAATAGTTTCAGATTTACAGAAAAGCTGCAAAAATAGTAGAGAAGCTCTGTATACATCACACCTGATTTGCCCTGTAATTAACATGATACACAATTACTGAGCCAAGGACATTATTACTAACTAATATCCATAATTTATATTGCAATTTCCTGAGTTTTGACCTGCTGTCCTTTTTCTTATTCAGTATCCCACCCAGGATACTCCATCTCATTTGTCATCATGTCTTCGTAGGCTCCTCAGAAGTAACTCAGTTCCTCAGACCCTCCTTGTTTTTGTTGACCTCTTTAAGGGTTGGTGACTTTGTCCTTGATGTGCAGCTATAACAGAATACTTGAAACTACGCAATTTATAAAGAATAGAAATAAATGTATTTCTCATAGTTCTGGAGGCTAGGAAGCCCAGGGTCACGGCACCAACAGATTTGGTCATTGGTTCCAAGATGGCGGCTGGTTTCTTCATCCTGTGAAGAGAAGGAACACTGTGTCTTCATATGGCAGAAGGTGGAAAGACCAAAAAGGAGGAACTGACCAAACCCTTTTGTAACAGCATTAACCCATATATTAGTGAGGTCACCTAAACATGTCCTACAGGCCACCTCTCTCAACACTGTTGCATTGGGGATTAAGTTTCCAACACAAGAATTTGGGGGGCACATCCTGTCCATACCAACTGGTCAGCTATTTGGTAGAATGTTCCCATGAGGATTTTGTTCTCATGATTAGACTGGGTGGTGAGTTTGGGGATGACAACACAGAGGTAAGGTACATGCTTACACATTGTTCAAGAGGTGCACACGAGCAACAGGGGTGGCTGCTGTTAGTGTTGACCTTGACCATCTGGCTGAGGCAGGGCTTGTCAGGCTTGTCCACTGGGAAGTTACTCTTTCTCGCCCTTTCCACACTGCACTCTTTGGAAGGAAATTGCCAAGTGCAATCTAGATATAAGAAAGTGAGTTGTGTCCTTTCCTTGAGGTATATCTATGGAAATTATTTAAAATTCTTCTGCATGGGAGGTTAGTCTATTCTCCTTTCATTTACTTATGAAATCATTTACTAACATCAGTATGGACTCATGAATATTTATTTATTTCTTTAGTGGCACTTCGATTGAACCCAGGGCCTTCACACTGAGGTATACCCTAGTCCTTTATTTATTTATTTATTTAGAGACAAGATCTGGCTGAGTCATTAAATGGCCCAAGTAGGGCTTGAATTTATGATCCTTCTGCCTCAACCTCCCAGAGGACTGGGATTACAGGAATCCACTCTCGTACCCAGCATAGATTCTTATTTTATACTTTGAGTGCTTGGTTCAGCAGCACATATACTAAAATATTTTATACTTTGAGTCTATTTCAATATTGTTTTACTTATGGCTATGGCCATTAGGAGCTCTTTCAGTTGGCTCCTGTGTCCCTTTGACACATTCCAACTATAGTGGGTACCTTTTTGTTTTTTAGAACTTCCTTAATTTCTGGCTCTACAAGGTGCTTCTTGTAAGACTGTCTTATACATTCTGTCCCAGCCCTAGAACCAAGAAGTTAATTGGTTCTTCAAGGAGCTCTACTTTCTTTTACTAAAGAATGGCATTTGAAACCAAAATCTGGGGTCTGGGTATGTCTTGAAAAATAAATACAAATTGATTATCTTGGGCTTTCTAGCTGTTTAATCACACTGGATAATTTTTTAAGATGATGATTTAATCAGTTTCTTTACAATATTTATACATATTTATTCTTTTTTCCTGTATTTTGTTATAAATATAGTTTGTTTATTTGTTGAGACAAGGTCTCACTATGTAGTTCAAGGCTGGACTTGAACTCACGGCAATCCTCCTGCCTCAGCCTCCTGAGTGCTGTGATTATAGGCATGTGCCACCATCCCCAGCTCTTTTCTATATTTTTTTGTTTACTTTGAGGGAGTACTGTGAATCAAACTCAGGGCCTCATACTTGCCAGGAAGGCACTGGACCACTGAGCCATATCCCCAGCCCCCTTCTTTTCTATATTTTTTAAAAATGAATTTTATTGGTACATTTTAGCTATACAATATAATGACATTCATCATTAGAAATTTGCACCTTTACACAATCTCTCTTGGTTCTTATTTTCCCCTCTTCCCCTGCCCTCCCTTCAACCCCTCCATCCCTCCCTATTTACAAAGACTTTGTTTCCATTTTTTCATTTTCTCATATTAATTCCATTCCCATCTTTCCTTTCCCCTACCCCTCCCACTTCCCCTTCCCCTTTGCCCCTTTTCTTCCTATTTCACATTATCTATTATATCTTTTAGTCCTTATTTACACATTCAGTTTCTCACACTAGAGAAGCTATTTGATATTTACACGTGTGTCCTATTTGTTTCACTTAAGAGTATCACCTCAAAGGGCTAGGTATTTAGCTCAGTGGTTCCACCACCTGCCTTGCAAGTGCAAGGTCTCGAGTTCAATCCCCGGTACCAAAAAAACAAAAAGCAAACAAAGAGTATGGCCTCAATGTGCATCCATTTAGCTATAAATGTCTCTAATTTCTCATTTTTTATGGCTGAGTAGTACTCCATTTTATTTTTTAAAAAACACATTTTCTTTATCCAGTCTCCAGTTGATGCACACTTGGTCTGCTTCCAAGTTTTAGCTTTTACAAACTGCGCTGCTATGAACATGGGTGCACATATATCACTGTGGTATGATTCTTTTAATTCTTTGGGGGAGATACCCAGCAGGGGGACTAGCTGGGTCAAATGGGATTTCCAGTCCTAGTTCTTTGAAGTATCTCTATACTGATTTCCACAGTGGTTGTACGAGTCGACACTCCCACCAGCAGTGGAGCAGTGTTCCTCTTTCCCCACAGCCCTGCCAGCATTTGTTATTAGTTGATTTCATGATAACAGTCTTTTCTATATTTTTAAGCAGGTAGAATAGTCACATAAAATTCATGAGCTACAAAAGAATAATTGCATTTTATGTGGCACTGGGGATGAAATCCAGGGCCTTGAGTATGCAAGGCAAATGCTCTACCACTGAGCTACACACCCAACTCTACGTGTAATTTTTATGTTGCTTTTTATTACCTAACATGTCATCAGCATTTCTTCATATGCTTAGTGGTTCTTCAAAAGCATCATTTTTGGGCTGGGGATGTGGCTCCATGATAGAATTCAAGCTTAACCTGAAAGAGGCCCTGGGTTTGATATTCAGCATTGCAAAAAAGATAAAAAAGGAAATCTAGGCCCAGGGATTTAGCTCAGTGGTGCTGCCACCTGTCTTGCAAAACAAGGTTCTCAGTTTGATCCCCGGTACAAAAAAAAAAAAAAAATTTCAGCATCATTTTTCATAGCTGCTTAATAATTTCTCTTGTGACCATACTATAATTTATTTAACTATTTTAAACAACATTAACTATTTTAAATAACCATTTAAAACAACATAACATTTACCAGTGTCTTACATTTACATTTACTTTTTTTTTTGGTACCAGGGATTGAACTTGGGATCTTGCGCTTTCGAGGCAGGCGGCGGAACCACTGAAATAAATTCCAGCTCCACGTTTACATTTTATGTAAGCTCCGGATTTCATAGGTATAGCACAGGACTGGGAGTGGAGAAAGACTCATGGGTCAGGGCTCGAATTAGAGCTGAGGCATAGGGTGACATCACTCTTCCCAATTCCCGTGTGCTTCATGAGAGTCAGATTTGGGATGCTGCCACCTCCTTTTCTTCTTACTCCTCCTCTTCCTCCCTTTCTCCTTCCTTCCTCCTCTTTTCCCCTTCCTTCTCCTTTTCCCCTCCTTCTCCTCCTCTTTTCTTCCTCTCCCCCCCACTCCCCCCAGTCCTCCAAATCCTCCCGTCCTCCTCCTTCCTTCTTTTTTTTTTTTTGGTACTGGAGATGGAACTCGGGACCTTGCGCTTGCGAGGCAGGCGCCAGAACCACTGAGCTAAATCCCTGGCCCTCCTCCTTCCTTCTTGTTTCTCCCCTTCTCCCCATCCTCTTCTATTTCTCTCCTCCTTCTCCTCCCTTTGTCCTCTCCCCTTCCTTCTCCTCTTTGCAGTGCTGCCTATGGAACCTGAACCTGCTAGGCAAGCACTCTACCACTTATAGAAGAAGCACTCAAGCACTTAAAAAATTTGTTTCTTCTTTAATATCAACCTGGCATTTTTTCATTGTCTTAGTCCATTTTCTGTTGCTATAACAAAGTACCTGTGGCTGAAAATAGATAAAGAGAAAAGGCTTATTTAGCTCACAGTTCTGGAGTCTAAGAGCACACTTCCAGCAACTGCAAGGCTCCTGATAAGCACATCATGGGGAAGAGATCACATGCTGAAAGAGGCAAAAGGAAACTGAACTCATTTATAACAATCTGCTCCTCCTGTAACTTATGTACTCTTGAAGAACCTATACCAATCTCTTCAAGTGGGCAGATCCCTTGTGATCCAAGTGCCTTGTAGAGATCTCACCCCCTCTCAACACTATTCTTTTGAGGAACAAGCCTCATCACGAGTTTCTGGAAGGACAAACCAGGCCAGAACTGCGCATTCATTATTCATTGATTCATTCCACAAATATCCATTGAGCATCTACTCTGTGCCAGGCACTGTTCCACCAGCTGTGAATACCAAATAAAGATCTCTGCCTTGTGGAACTTTTACTTTAGAAAGGGGAGACAGACAATAAGTAAGAGATGTAGCAAATAATTATATAACATGTTAGAAGTCTTATTACATAAAGAAAAGAAAACGTAGGGCAGAGTAGTGGGAATCAGGGAAGCACATGATGGTTAGGAAAGGTCTCATGGAGAAGTGAGACTCAAGTAAAAATTAGAAGGAAGGGAGGCACGGGCCAGGAGGACATCTAGGTGAAGGACATTCCAAACAGAATAGAGAGCCAGGGCATAGTTCCTGGCTTGAGAACCAGCTTGTTTTTTTAAACACAAAAGCATTTTTCATATCATTCCATGTTACCCAGTGCCTGAAAAAATCAACTTAAAGGAGGAAAGACTTATTTTGGCTCATGGTTCCAGAGATTTTAGTACATGGTCACTTGGCCCTGTTGTTTCTGTCCCAAACATAATGTTGGGGAGTGGGTAGCAGAGCAAAGCTGGTCATGTCATGGTAGCCAGGAAGGAAAGAAATGGAGTGGAGACTGGGAACAAAATGTCCCCTCCCAGGGCATACCCAGTGACCTGCTTCTTCTGACAGAGCCCATCTCCTGAAGTTTCCACCACCTCCCAATTTCCTACGTGGCCATGAATTGGTCAATGGATTGATCCATTGAAGAGGTTGGAGCCCCCACAATCTGACCCCCTCCCAAGGTCCCATCTCTGAATGCCACTGCACTGAGGACCAAGCCTTCCACAGAAGAGCCTTGGGGAACATTTCAGATCCAAACCTTAACACATTTAATGTTTCCTTTTTTTTTTTTTTTAGTACTAGGGATTGAACTCAGGACCTTGCGCTTGTGAGGCA